AAACGTCTACCTTAAGACCACTTGTGCAGAGTGCTACCGCATAAGCTAACCAAAATCCATATGCCGTTCTAACAGGCGAACGTTTTTGAACACGTGGATAGTTACATAACCTAAAATACGTGACTTACAATAGTTATGACTGCACAGCGTTCGACCGGTTGATACGTGCAAGTCCTCAATTAATCACCAAACATTCCACACAAAGACGCGCTACGGCATAATGTATCAAGGTTGGTATGCAGAAATTTGGTAAAATAACCACCAATCTGTAAGTCTGAATCAGAGCAAAAGCTGAAATTGCTTGTTCGCTTACTTGTTTGTGAAATCGGATACCAGAGAGTCTTCTGCGTCTTATCTTAATGTTGCACAATGAGCTTCTTTTGTGTTGCTAAGCTGCGCATATATATAGTTTTCCCGACTTTAAGCAGGTTGCTTTTTGCGTGCATTTTTGGTGCAATATCAGTACCAACGAATGGAGCGTTTCCAGGGTTTTAAATGTTCGACGGGTTTTTGCGTGTGATGATGCAACGAATGAACTCTATAAATGCTCCACAAAACCACGGCTTTTAACTTTTGGTTGTGTTAATTTGTTGTTTTGATCGACATTTCACTACTTTTAGTTTAATGCTTACTGACCGTTACTAGTGTAGTGATCCATGATAGCCAACGGGTAGTCACAGAAAAAGTCACTCAGAAAAATCCCCGAAGTCACGTTGGACCCAAAAGCTGCGAGGTTGCGATTGGTACTTAAGTAAAACAAACATGTTTACAGTAATGTGCCCGGCATTTATTGCAGTTTGCGATTGCTACAGATGCAGTGATGTAATTACCAATTGAACCCGCCTTCCTTGCACACCTACGATTGTTTTTGCTAGAGAAAATTAAACTGACAATCAACGAATACAGTTGACTGTTGTCTGTCTCCATTTCAGATATAAGTGAAACTCAGCCGATTAGCAAAGATCCAGAGAAAGTTGGCGCGGCCATCCATGACCTTCCAAAGACGGGCGATGGCAGTTTCTAACTGTTGCAGAAATTTAGATTAGAACTCTCTGAGTGAGTCAATCGCGCATCGGTCTTCCTGGCTCCTGCAGAGGTCAGTAGGCACTTGGGATCCAGTGCATTTGGGATACGGCTTTTAGGTGCCGGAATGTTAGATTGCAGCAAACGCTCACAGGCGACAGATACACGTACACACCCTTAATCGTTGCCAAATAATTTTGCATATCTGTGTGCTTCGCGTACAAAAATAACTTCTGTTCGGTCTATTACCGGCCACGCTGGAGGCTTATTATCACGAATTTTCAAATGGTGGAGCTATATGCCACTTGTATACAGGATAGTAAGTAACCAACATCGCTGGTTTACACAAGGCTGGACAGTGTAAGCTTCTTGCATACATCCCTCAGTAATCAAGTGGAGAGTTATGTGCCCGCGAAATTGCATTGTACCGCTGAAGTAAGTTCTGCATTCCGTCCATTCAATAGTGAAAAGAACAGGAAGTGAGGATATCTGATTTAAGCAGATGAATAGCAGATGTGTACATGAGTACCGATGTGAGAAGGAAAATTCCTAAGTTCACTGGAGATGCGCATAGTTAAGAAACGGATGTATCTAGAAATAGGTATCTTGATTCACAAATATAAGTGGACGGCAACTGAGTGGAGTTTGAAAATTCTCGGAACAACTGTTGTCATTGGTGCCCCACGAATTATCGCTCAGTACCGTCGGTCCGTCTTCGGCGATAGTTGGTAAATCTGCTTATGAACATTACTTATTGGTTTTCTCAAGCATCGGTCCGACAAACGGAATCCCACAGTTTGTGATGAAGTGCCGAACTCAATTTGCTCGGCTCTTCACTCTGGTGGAAGCACACTGGAGCAGTAAAAATAAGGCATACTTTAGAAGACGTACAACGGTAGAACGATTTCAATGCACCCATGATGAA